TCATTTCATTTTTAGGACTTTTTAAAATATTATTATTTTACTGAGTTTTGGCTGGTTTTGAGTCATTTTTGATCTGACGTTTTTGAAAAAAGGCAATAACGAAATCAAGATGGCGGATCCAAGATGGCGGCTGTTTCAATTACCACGCGATATGACATTATGGAGGGGGAGCGGATTGCGGATTCCGCCGACCCCCCGGTCGTAGCTATAGAAAAACAGAAAAAAGCCCGACAAATCTGCTTGCTCTTCCACGAAATATATTAAGAACAGATTATAAAAAATTGAAACAAGGACCAGCTGTAGCCAATAGGCGGGAGTTAATTGCGTTCCAAAAATATCTAAACGTTGAAGAGAGCGAAGGTCAGTGTTGTTTCTCCAACACTGTCCAATGAAATTGAAAACGAGAAACGATTTTTTTAATGTAATGCAACTAAAGCAAGATTAAGAGGGAAAGAGTTATGCATGACATCAAAAGTATTTCTTTTATTTATTTTTTCAATGACCCCGACAGTTCCAGAAACTGGGTTGTTTAGTTATCGTGCAAGCATTCAAATTGAAATAAGAGACGGAAGAATCTGAAGAAGGCTGATACTGGGCAGCCGAGATATTGTATTCATTAAAATCAAGTTAAATTCTACGTTGTGTCGGCATTTTCGTGTACATCTTCAGCAGATCTGATCAATCTCCGATCGACTTAAACCGGGAGGATCATCATTCTCGGTTGCTTGCTATCTCTTCTTGTCTAGACATCGTTACCATCGCATTACGCAGGGGCTCATTGAGGTCAGCTAAGATTGTAATTACCTCAGCATACCTTTATTTTGTCTCGTGTAGTTACATTTTCACGTATTTTTTAACTTATTTTTAATTGATATTAGACAAGGCGACATCCACAGTGATACCCGCAGCGACATCCGAAACGACATCCGAGGCGACACCCGCAACGACACGCACTCCCTCCCTGTCCTCTGTGAACATCGTGTCAACATCGTCCCATGTCTCAGGTACTTCTGCAGTTCAACTGCAGCCCTCTAGCACTTCATCCCCATCATCGTCTTCAGGTATGTGTACACAAATTCCTTTCAACAGTCACAATTTTTGCTGAAAACCCCTGGCGAAGTCATATACATTATACAGTGGTGGTCCAGGTGTCAACTTCCTCTGGGTGCCCTCTCCTGCCTTCCTCCTTTTCTATGTCACATTTCCCCCACCATCCCCTCCCCACTCCCATCATAAGCACATCGCATCCGCCACTGTATCACCTGGTAAACATTTTTCGACATCGACCGGAAGTTGTACATTTCTTAATTTCAGTCATCTTCCTTCTCTCTCCTCCCCGCTACTAAACCTTGCATACCACTCTCACCTAGCCTGCGAACGCAGACGTATTTCCGGCTGTCGCTTGTCTCCGCCGAAAAATAACGTCTGCGAACCCGAGCCAGGAAACGATTTCTGTGACGTAAGAATTTTAAGCCAATCACAATTTAGCTCAAGTAACCCCAGAACTACTGCGCGAGGTATTCGCTGCGAGAAGCACTCGAGTTTCATTCTATCACAGAATCTGATTGGCCAAAGAGAAACAAAAATCATTACGTCACAGAAATCGTTTCCTGGCTCGGGTTCGCAGACGTTATTTTTCGGCGGAGACAAGCGACAGCCGGAAATACGTCTGCGTTCGCAGGCTAACTCTCACCAGACAGCAGTGTTATTTTTCTGGTTTCCAATCGACAAATTTTATATTGCGAACGTTTAATGGAGAATTTCACGTCTTGTTAGTCAAACTAGGCAACTGTAGTGTGTTTTGCCCCAGTTCAAGACTGTTTAATAGACTATTTTACAGTTGTCTGCTCAGTGACCTAGCCTTTGAATGGCAGCGAGGCTGGAGGTGACCTTGTTTAGATACAGACCTCACTGCTTTTGTTGTGCAAATCAAGTTGTTCTTATGTTAACTAGTTTGCATTTAAATGAGAAAAGCAGAGAGGTTTGTATCAAAGCAAGGTCACCTCCAGCCTCGCTTGCATTCGTAGGCCAGGTAACTAAGCACACAACTGTAAAATAGCCTATTCGTTAAAAAAAAAACTGTTTTCATACATCTTAGAAACTTACATCATTTTGATCGGTTGAGAGCATAGTTAATAGAGGGGAATGGTTATGAAACCCGACAAAATTCTTTGTTGTATGTTTTTGTTCGCTTTTTTGGCATTGACTGTGCAGAAAACACAATAGTTGTTTACTGAGGAACTAACCAATAGAAACGTGTTGGTTACGTAATTCATGCATAGTGTCGTGGACCTTCCAACAAATCTTGGCATCTTTGTTCGCTCCTTTGATGTTTGCCGGGCTTCAAAACTGACCAGTCTCTCAATTAATTGACTATGTTTCGAGCAAGCAGTTTATCGTTAAATTTTAATTGGCTCTGAAGTGCAAATTAATGAGTGCACGTTGGTAATTTTCTCGATCACACCGATTAATGAGTAACCGCATGAACGCTCGACCTATTATAAACGATAATCAGTGATATTTGAAACTTTCTTGAATTTGAGCTTGTCCAAGGCTTGTGAAATTTTCAGAGAATTTTCAACTATCACTCGAGTGCGCAGTTTATTATCTGAACTAATAATTTGTGAACATTTGAAAGAATGTTTGGAAAAATAAATATCTCTCTAGACAAGAGAGATAAGATATAGACAAGATCTGATTAATTGACGCTATTTTTTCTTAGTGTCTACTGGTGCCACTGTAACCCAGTCCACGAAACAACCCACGACGTCAGATTTGAGTGCTAAAGCCAAGACTATTGGAGGACTGGAAATAATGGGATTTGCCATCCTTACCATCCTTGGCATCATGGTAACAACCTTTGCAATTTACTACTTCTTCTTCCGGGAGCGGATGTGTCCAGAATCCATGAATCCACCAAAGGTGCACACGAACGGGCAGGCGCCAGCGGAAGTTGGGATAACCCACATGGGGTTTGTTGGGGATGCTCAGAGTCCAACCAAAGTTGCAGCCCCTGAGCCGGAAGTAAAAGTCGTCAGTGGACCGGAAGTTACGCCTGTGGCCAAGGGAAATGAAGGACCTGTAGATAGTGCCTTGTAAGCACAGGACTGACAAATGACTATGCCAGCCTCGTTTTCAAAACGCAAATTCTCTTAACTGGTATCAGTAAATTTTAAGGGGCGTCAGTTGGGAGAATTTAAGAGGGTCTGGATGGGATGTTGGAATCTCAGTTATCAATCACATTTTCAGTTCATTTTCTAGCCTGTTTATAAGTGAATTTTGTAGATCCTGGTCAGATTTCAACTTTAAGTTAAAAAATCCAGGACATTTCTCAGCTGATAGTTCAAATCTTGTCCAATTCTTACCTATCAGACTAGTTAAACCCCATTTACAGTCTCATTTAACTTCTTGTTTTTTCGGTTTCGAATAGGAACTTAAAACTCAATTCGTAGGCAATGCGTATTCATGTATTAGTAATCCTTTAAGAGATAGTTAGAATTATATGTTAGTAGTCTCAGAGTGCGCTGAAATGGAGAAATTTAGCGTTCGGTTTAATACGTACCCCCCAGTTTTTCCTCTCGGCGGCCCGGGGCCTGAAACGAGTTAACTTCTTTACCAATGCAGTTACAGCTGGTTCTGTTCTATCAACGGCGTTTTTTTCTTTAATTTCTTGTACGAAAAACAGAAGATTGAAATAGAATAAACATGTATTCTTCCATACACACGTCATTAAAATAACAAGTTATTTTTAGCTTGTTTAGTGGTGAATCGAATACACATCCTTTTGCTAAGGCCAGCTGAGCTTTTTATGCACCACGAACTGCTCCGCTATAGCACAAAAGTACAACCCAGAAGATGTTTCTGAATGCCTTCATTTTTCATAAACTAATAGTTGCCTGCTCTTTCCTCGGTATATGCCGATCAATGCTTATTAGCGTGTAAACCAAAATTTCCTCCCATTTCTTAGTTTTCCTTATCAGCAGCTCGGTTAATTGAATTTAACTGATTTAATTTTACGCTTGCCTGCTGTCAACTTTGATTTCTTAAGTGCGGATCATGTGACGTCACAAAGGTTTCAAAGTATAGAATATCACATTCTATCTTCCTGGTGCCCAAGGCATTTCCACCAGCCCAACAATACGGTTAGATACTGTGATCGTTGCAGAATACAGAGCGTGTTATCAGAATATAAAATGTCTCTAAACTTTCTTCATTTACTCCTCTTTCTTTTCTCCGGTGTGGAGATCAATGCCTCGACCACAGGTAAATGTAAATCGCATTTCATAGAACATTACATTTGAAAAAAGCACTGATGTGAAATGGAGCTTTGAGGTGAGATTTTAGTTCAATAATGAGAGACTTTTCACGTTATTTCAGACGATTTTTACTCGGTGGTTATGCTTGTCTGTATAGTTTCTAATCCGGCTGATTGCGAGTGTGTTAAGTGTAAACTCAAATAAGACAACGGGTTATACAACGCATGCGTCTGTACGGAAACAAGACTGGTAACTGCAGAATATCCTCTATTTAAGAATTATTTTTAAATGAGTCTCTGGGTATGTCATTATGCGGAGATAGGAGTGCTCATGTTCAATACAGAACGAGATATATCTCTTGCTTTTCCCGTAGAATATTCCTGTAGATATTTTATAGCGCAGTACAGCTAATTGCGCCGAACCCGGAAAGATAAGCGGAAAAGCACCCTTTACTTTGACGTTTCAGAGTACATTTTTATAGTTCGTGGATACTCAGCTGGTTTATATATTTTTTTTTGATCCTTAACTCTTTTCAAGAAGAGATTTAGAGAGTAGCGCGAAATATTTACCCGGAAAAAAAAATATTTCCGGGGCCACAATATTTTCATTACTGACTGCTCCTTCGTTTTAGTCCCACAAAATGGAATATTTAAGTGATTCTAAACCAACGCTTTAACAAGAGCATCACTGCACGCGAGACGATTGAGTTTGCCGAATGATCTGGACAGCTTAACACTAGAGGACGTACCTTCAGGCCTATCTTTGTGTCTATCGACGTGAATTAGCTCAGAAAACTCCGCTATAAAATATACATAGTAATCATATCCTGCAGGAAAAGTAAGTGATACTTCGTCCTGTTATCTGTAATACATTGAATTCCCACATGGCAACCATGTAAAAAAGCTTTCCAGCATTTTTATAATTCATACATGTGTTTTTTTT